CAGGAGCTCTTGGTGGCTTCCCTTTGCTACCACCCCCTGGCGTGACATGGTGTGGCCATGCCCACGTCCCCCCCACGGATATCTGTGCTGTTCCCCAGGCTCTTGCCACACTGGTCTCTGAGTCGTGAACCTGGCGGGCTGTTCGGGTCTTCAGGCAAACTGGGGCGCTTCTCCCCATCCTTGGCCAGCAAATTTCCTTCTCGAGTTCTAGGTCTCAATGTCCTTGGAGAAAGATTCTCTGACCCCCTTTATAGAAAGCAGGTGAGTCCCATAGAACTAACCCCAGTTTGAAATGAAATCCTCTTTGCTTCCCTGTTTACCATCTGTTGTCCTCTCATTCAGCTCTGGGAGTGCGGAGACCGTGTTTACTTGGCTCCCTATTGAACCCAGCGCCTACGACAGCACCTGGCTCTCAGCAAGACCGCAATAAGTATTCATCAAGTAAATACGCAAATGGTGACTATTAGGAAGTAAGACTCATGTTCTGGCAGACGGTGCTGGGATACTACTCAATTCCTTATGCTTACAAGTGAATTCTCACTTGTGGGGGTGGGGGGTGAGGGGGAGGACCACCTTTGGATGATGGTATGCGATGGGCCTGGTGGTGATCTTCCAATGACTCTCTTCTTCATCCTACATCTCAATGTAATCTGAGTTTCAAGGCTTATATCGGGAAGCAGCACAACGAAAGGATCATAAGTGGCATTTTTTGGAGTCACCTCTGTTTACCACGTTAGGTGATGCCTCTCTGATTGAGATGCCCTGGTTTATGTCTTAGCTGGGGGGCAATGGTAGGGTGCAGAACAAAGGCACAAGTCTCTAGCAAGTAGAAAGCAGTTTTCCCGTCTTGTGGGTGGGAAAATGGAGGCGTGCAGAGCCAACCTGACACCCAGAGTCACACAGCTAGGATGTAAAGGAGATGGATTTGAATCTGGATTCTTCTCACTCCCAAGGGGGAGATAACGTGCTCCATTTCCACAGAGGATGACTTCTCGAAGGGGCCAAGCCTGGGAACTGAACTGAAATGGCTTTGGAGAAAATTGCTGTGCTCATCAATGAGTGCTTAATAGGGCAGCTTTCCTTAGAAGTGAAAGCATGGCTGCAGTCCTGAGGCTTCATTCTGGGGTCTGATTAGACCGAGAGGGGAAAGCTGCCTCTGGGGTGAGGACAGCCAGGTCCAGTCTGAAGGAGCTGGCCAGGCTCCAAGGCCACCTGGGTGGTTTTAACAGAGATACTTTAAAACGAATCAGTGATTTCCTTTCCCTCCTGGATACATTGCATTCATCCAGGCCCTTTCACCCCTGTAGGCTCAGCGCCTTCCCGTGGGACTGGCGGGCTGCAGTGGGGAGGGGGAAGGAATACCAGGCTGGGAGTCAAGGGTCTGGGGCACTGTTCTTGGCTCAGTCACTGTGAGGTCTTGGGCAAGTCATTTCTTCTTCCTGAGTGTCAGAGGCCCTTCGTTCACAAGAGGAAGAAGCTTAGTAGTTCTAATCTGGGGTGGGGAGGTGGAGGCACGAGGGAATCTCTGGGCACTTGCCAAAATTCTGACCCATCTTCCTGTCTGCGGGAGGGATGCTGATGGCAGCGGGCTGCATGAGGGAGGTGAATGCTAGTGTGGACCTACGGTCCCCATGCACCGTGGAAGAAGGTGGAGGGCCCCAAACATTTGCTCTGTTCAATAGGCAAGGAAACGGTGCTGATTCAAGCACATTATTTCTTAAAAAAAAAAAGGCAAAAGAGTACAAACACTCCTTAACGATCTTTGGACAAAGATTTTCTCATTTTCTCACCAAGGCCGCAGTGCTTGCCCAACGAAGTGGTCTAAATGATAGAGTGACCGAACGAGGACTCTGGCTCTGACAGGTGCTCTAAGAAAAGCCAGGGCTTAGCTGGTCCAATGCTGACCCTCAGGATTAGAGAAGCATTTGTCACTTTTTAGTAGTCCTGTTATGACCCCGCCTCCAGTGCTGGGGAATCCTACTCTGTGTCAGTCTCAAGGCAATGCTGAGGCCCAAGTGCCCATGATCTGCTCTCCCTGGGGTGTGGTCTCCCTGAGACAGGGACTGAACCTCAGCCAGCAAGAGGCTCCTGCTTGACTCAGCAAGAGGTCCAGAGATGCCAGGTAGGGACAGCTGTGTCCAGGGCACTACATCAGGCTCTTCCTACGGCCGGACTAGGCCTGGGGATCCTGGCTCCTTGGGGGTCTCGACTCCTGTCCTGTCCCCAGTCTGGTTCTCCAGCCTTCCCGGCAATGCTGAGAGCCACCAGATAGCCTTTGAACCCATTCCAATTCTGCCGAAATGAGATAGTGCCAGTCCCTCCTGCTGGCTCCTAAGATCTCAGCCCCGTACCCAACCCACCTGGCAATGACGTATTCACCTGGGGATTTATGTATGTATCATATTTTCTGCTACTTGAAAATATCAAGAAACTAGGTTTGCTCTGTAATTCCTACAACCTTCTCATCCAGCCTGAGAAGGGAGCTGGGGTTGGTGGCTCACAGTGGCAAAGCCGATTGTCTAGATTTTTGGTTGGCCCTGGGGGAATTTTTAGCCCTGGTCGTTGGCAACTCTCCCTGAAAAGTTGGGTTGGGTTGAATAAGAATAGGAAATTCAGCATATTCTTGGCCCCTGGAAAGCGGTACAGAATGCCACCCCACCGGTCTCGCCTGGAACTCTCACGTGTGAATCTGCACACAACCAGGGGCGCTTGGTGGGGTTGGTCTTGGACAAATGCTAACACCTGACCCAGAAAAGTACTCCCAGACCTATTTATTAATATCAGGGCAGACGCTTTAAGAATCTATTACGTATTTCTAGTTTTTCACCCAAATGCTTTTGTCAAGCACTACTCAGACCATAAACATAGCATAAAAACAAAAGATCCCAAGGGTCCCAGGAAAATCAGGGGATGTTTCTGTTGATGAAATTGACCACCGTGAACACATTAGGTGGTTACAGACAGGATCGTTTCCTTTCCTTGCCCACAACCTGCTCCGTACCCTTCCTGTTCGTTCCAAGGCCCTCAAAATGTGGTACCTATTCTACAATCTTATGAAATTTTGCCTGGTTTAAATTTAGTGGTTATCCTCCATGGAAATTTCCCCTCAAATAGACAGCTGACAGAAAGCCAGGCATTCAGAAGCCTCACGCAGGGAAGAACGTGTTTGTTCTAAAAAAGCAAACCTTCCTACTCAGAAAAGACTTTTTCCCCCCCTGCCAGGAAAGTTGAGAACAGATTGTAGGATTTCATCTTAGCTCATGGGTTGAAAAGGCAAAGTCCCAGAAAGGAGGGATAAGGGTACGTTGTAGGATTTTGATGGCTGGGTGCTAAAGAAAAATCAGTGGAAATGAGAGCTTCTTCCGAAGAATTCTTGATAATGGAAATATCACCACAGTGCTCAAAGTGGAACAGTAATTAATGGAAGTGGTATTTTGGGGGCGTACAGATGACTCAGAAGCTGACAATGGGATGTTAAGCAATGTCTTCCTGGATCCCACAGCTCCGTGTTCTCAGCCAAGGCAATGTGTCCGGTGATTTTTTTTTTCTTTTTTCATCTACACAAGGAATTCCACCTGTAGAAAACCTGCTAAATTACATCCACTAGCTCTTAATTGGGAACACTGTGGTCCACCCCAACGTTCCAAACCTCCCCGTTGGGCATGGACTGCATTCTGGAAGTCTTTTTAACCAGAGCGATGACCGTGAGCGATGAATCACATTCTCCTTCACTTCCCAGGTGAGGGTCCAAATTAGCAGCGCAATGGCCAAAAGGCAGGGAGGGAAAGGCCAACGCCAGCTCCGAATATCTGACCTCCAGCAAAACTCACCCTCGAGGGTGAGAGATGCCAGTGCCTTTCCTTGGCATCCCATTCCGTTTCTGTTATTAAAATGAGCGGCTGGCCAGTTCCTGTCAAGCTCTGCATCTGATGGTCCTTCCCCGCACTGAGCCAGGTCCCAGTGTGGCTCTCACACCCCTCCCCACCTCACAGATCCACATTCATGCTGGACCAGCCAACGCTCATCTCTTGCTCACCACACACAGCAGCGGGACTGAGGTTTCGTGGTGGTCCCCAGAGACTTATTTTTTTAGGGCCTCATAAGAGCGGGCTTCAGTCTGCTCCCCATCCTAACCTTTAGACGCGTGGTATTTCCATTATCGACGGGAAATAAGTTAACCACTTTCTCTTTGTAGGTACATAATCTCTATGAATTTATCACATTGGTAAATCTGTCATAGCAACATGGACTCTTCCAAGAGTCCCCGAGAGAAGGTGAAATCCAGGGAAGGGGTACCAAAAGGTAGCGTCACTGGCACTAGCTCAGTGGCAAACACAGTTCACAGGCTGCTGTGTCCTCTTTCTCTCTGCTAGCATCTCAGAGTGGGTGTCAGGGATGTGCCTCCCATCCCCACCCCTGTAAATCAGTAAAGGGCAGTAAAATCCCAAGGCCACACTTCTCCTCCAGCCTCTCCCACACTCCCACGACCAAGCCTCCTGGCTGCTACGCCTTCCTGTGTCTCTGAGGCCTGCCTCCCAATGGCACTTTACAAAGGACAAGGGCGCAGAGAATGAAAGAAAGTTCTAGGGCTTGGAAATTTGGATGTGACCTCTTTCAAGTTATTCGAACAACTTGTTTTTAAAACACCCAGTGTTTATCCATGGAGCAATGTGATTGGGGAGGCAGAAGAGATTTCAGGGAAAGGTCTGAGAAAGATAAAAATAGTCTTGGCTTTCAGAGTGGAACTCCAAGCCCTGTCAAGGGTGCTTCCAGACTATTTTTCCTTTGGCCGGTCATAGCAGGGAGCTTTCACATAATGGTGGCACCGTAAAGAACAAGGCTATCACAAGAGCAGACCACAGAAGCTCTCCAGGCGGGCCTGGAGGCCAAGGCAGGCCTGGTCTTGGGTCTACCACAAAGCTGACATCTTGGCCCAGAGACCATCTTTACCCTCGAATTCCAGCACCACACCACCCAGATTCTAGGCGTGGCTGACTCACCATCATCTCTTCTGGGTTCCCATTGGCTATCTCCACCACCCTCAGGGCAGGGTCCACCTTGACCTTGGCGCGGGTCATAAACTGGATGACAGATGAGCTGTCCTGTGGAAGAAGCAACAGAACTCAGTGACAGATTTTCCTTTTCCTTCTTCTTCTTTTTTTTTTTTTTTTAACTGACAATGTCTGGCCCTTAAGGGAGTGGGTATAACTAAATTCCAAGATTCCACGTGGGCCAGACAAAAATGTTATCACTGAACTAGATGCCTCCCCTATCCCCGGGACCTAGGTGAAACAGCTTTCCAGAGCTTTCTCAAATTTCCTCACGCCGTGGTGGGTGCTGAGAAACTGAAGTTTTGCTGATCATCAATACATGCAAGCTGGTGTGCTGCGGTTTCCAAGCGGTAAGAGCCAGGTATTTGGCTATTGATACTGACATATTCACAAAGAGCAGAAAATAAATAAAGCTGTTTAGTTGTCTACGACAAATCTAGGCCTGGTATTCCATAGAAGGCATCTGATTTCTATTTCTCAAGCATCTTCCTGCTCTGACCACAACCCTCAAACCCTTCACATGAGTTACTTTTAACTCTTTCTCTGCCCTTATGTGAGACTGCCTGGGGGTCAACGCCATTGAACTCGGAGAGAGGGTACGGGATGGAGGGATGAGAAAGGGAACATCCGGCTTATATATAAGGCGATGGCCCGAAGAGCGACGACACTGGGGTGGGCATGGGGTCTTCTAACACTCAGAAGAGCCCACCAACCAAAGGTAGTCACCGGCCTTGGTGGGGGCTCGGATCCAGATAATGAGAAAATGGCTCCCAGGCAGCAAGGGAGGAGGAAGTTGGAAAAGGACAGGGCAGAACTGTGGCTCTGGGAAGGGTCAGGACCTTGAGCCCCCGGTTGAGACGGTCGGTGCTGCACGACCCTGGGTGGAAACTTCTGGCGTGGAAACAGACTGCAGGCAGCCCACCCGTGGGGGCAGCTGGGGCTCTGCCAGCAAGGTGTCACGGGGCACACCCACCCACATCTCCTCAGCCTGTCTGCCACCCAGGGAGGTACTCATCAGATGCAGCTCTGTCCCACTTCTGGTAAAACCTACCCTCTAAAAATGAAAGTGGAGGACCCTCTTCTAGAAAACACTCTGAGTGAGCCCTCTGCTTCTCTCTGCTGAAGAAACCACAAAGGCCTTTCTGGGAGGACACCCAGGGCCGCCACTCTGTGTCCTTTACCTGGGAGCTACGCACTGATTATTGCTCTTTTTTAAAAACAGCAATAACACCGATTTTGAATCCTTCTGGGAAGCTTGTTGCTCAAACGGACTGCGCCACTGAGCTCTCATTAAGCAGTAAATAATTTTGTAGGCAGATAAGCTTTTGACCAATTTAACAGTTTCACAGATTTGTGGGTTTGTGTGTTGGGATATACCGTGTTGGCAACCTTGGATCATCGTCACATCTTGGATGGTCTTACAACAATAATGACGACGATGATGGCAATTGTCAGAGCTAAAGGCCGAGAACACTTTCAGAGAAATCGGAATCCTCTGCTAATTTACAAAGTCAGACCCCACTTTTCAAATGAAAACCTGTTAAGATCCAAACAATAAGACCTCAGATTCCTTGGTCTGGGGCCGGACCTTGAGGTCAAAGGAAAATAAACAGGACAGTAGGCCCAGGCAAACCACAAGCCTGGAGCAGTTCCATGCCCTCAGGAAGGCCAGAGGGCTCTGGGCTGCTAGCGCTCACTTCCCAAGGGAGGCCGTGGCTGGCTTCAGGGGACAGACTTTCTGCATCTCAAGCTCTGGGAGGAGGTGGGGTCCCATCTGGTTCCAGGTCAGCCTCCTTTTCAGCTTTCTTTTGCACTTGGAATTTCTGGTTTCTGCGGAAAGGGCGTTTTCAGGGAGAAGGAGCCTCTCACAGTTACAGAGGACCCCCTGCAGCTGTCTCTTGGGGTGCAGACTGGGATGGATGGACCTTGGGAACAGCAGTCAGGGGGGCATGCCCCTCAGGAAAGGATCCCCATGGATCGGTAGTGGGATAAAGACACAGAGAGGCCGCAGAGCCGGATACGAGAAAGGCCCTAGGCCTTGCCATTAAATTAAGGACAGATGACTGGAGTGCAAGCAGTTGACATCTGGGTTAAGGGTGAAAGAGGAATGAGAGTGGCTTCCTGCCCTCGGTGCCATCATCAGGACTCTGGCGATAGTGATGACTGTGGCGTGGGGGAAAAAACTGTCACCAGGGTCACCGGTCAAGGGCAGGTAAGTACATGGGGTCCTGAGGACCCCTGCCAGGAAGGCACTTCCTGTGATGTGGGGCTTCAAAACCCCCTTCTTGGAATCTCAGGATAGCTACTGGGGTTCTGGCTCCTGCTGGGTCCTCTCCCAACACTGTCCTTTTTAAAAGGAGAAGCACAACAGGGAATCACTGCTATGAGAGCCCAACGCCTCCCAAACTGATTTCCCTGCAAAGGAAACCAAAGAAAAGGGAACTGGGCAGGGCTCTGCCTGGGTGGGGGCGGGCTGGGCCAGCTACAGATGGTCAGTGGGGAGAGCAGCTGGCATCCCTCCTGCCTCTATTTCTCAGGTCAGCACGCTACTGCCACGCCTACCTTAAAAACTAACATTGGAATGACTTTTCTAAAGATATTCATTCAGGTTTACACTGAACACATTAAGTTCTTCCAGAGGAAAATGAATAGAATCTCTGTGGCTAACGGGCATATTTTATTTTATCTTCACAAGTGATTATTTTTAAAGCGTCTCATTGGATATGGCCTTTCATACTCAGCAGCTCTTCTGTTAAAATAAATCGGTGAATTTGTCTGACATTTTTTTAAGAACCACCAATTCACTGACTGAGGTATTTTTAAATGAGCCACTTTTGATATGATAAACTCATACTGGCAAAGTCACCTGAAATTCAAAAGTTGGGCTTCTCTGAAATAAGGTGTCATCCAAACGAAGGACTGGCAAACTACCACCCAAGGGTCAAACCTGGCCCTTTGCCTGTTTTCGTAAATAAAGTTTTATTGGAACACAGCCAATGTGGAACATACCCATTGAGTATCGCCTGTGGTGGCTTTCACCATACAGTGGCAGAGCTGGGCTGTGGCAAGAGACTGTATGGCCTGTAGAGCCTGAAATATTTACTACTGGCCTTTTACAGAAAAGGTCAACCACTGATTTAGAACGAGAGCAGCGGTACTGGCATCACTTGGGAGCTTGTCAGAAATACAGAATGTCAAACTTGAATTTGCATTTTAACAAGGTCTCCAGATAATTCTGATGCAAGCTAAAGTCTGAGAAACTTAAATGTACACACAAAACACTTGGGGAGTTTATTAAAGTGAAGATGCTAATTTAGTAAGTCTGGGTCATAGAGCCCAAGATTCTGCCTTTCTTTTCTTTCTTTCTTCTTTTTTTTTTTCCTTAAAAATTCTTCATTTCTAATAAGTTCCCAAGTGACACTGATACTGCTAGTCCTCAGAGCACCCTTGATATAGCAAGGATCTGGTACCCGCCACCCCCAGCATCCTCCAGCAGCAAACTACCAATGGAACTTGCCAGAAAAGTTTTAACAGGCAGAGTTCTGAGAAAACCCACTCTGATGCTTTTAAATGAACCCAAAGAGTGCAGTGCCCCAGGTATTACCTTTTTCAATATTTCTGTGTTCAGCAGCATGTAAATGTCTATAGTACGACTTTCTTCTTTAGCAAGCGCACTAAGGTTACAGTGCATTGTTAGGCAAGAAATTCCTTGTTTTTCACAGTCCTGAGAAGAAAAATCAGAGAACTGTCTGCCAAATGGTATTAAAAACAAAGACAAATGCACAGCGCTTTATGAAGTAGAGGGCTCCATGAGGTTCTATTCTGGTCACTAGGAGGATCCCAGGCAGAGGAATTCCATAGGAAGGTGCAATCATTCCTTCTTGCCACCAGAGGGCAATAGAGGGGTTTCCTGCCCACAAAGCACCAGAACCTAACTTTTGTCAAGCAAATGGGAAAAAGTCACCCACTGGTTTACCCTATCCCAAAATTGGATTTCACAAGGAGAAAGAATTGCTTTAAAAAAAACAAACATTTTAAAAATAAACATTCACATATTCCAAAAGCATTTTTCTTATGAGTTCTGAACTAAGATGTGTTTCCTACATTATGTAATTTTTGCCTGTGCGGTGGCAAATACACGTTTATGCTCCTTTTTCAGGTAGAGCAAATGAGAGGGCTGAGAAGTCATAGGATTCATGAAACACATGAGTAAAGAAAAGCGCAGGTTTGACCAAGAAAATATGTGAGTCACCCATAGAAACCTCAATTCCAAATTAAAGTTACAGAAGAGGAATTCTTCTCTTCTGTAAGGTAGGATCCAAAACGTATATACATATGTTTATGACGTTTCAAGTGTGGGGTAAGACTGTCAGTCAGATACAGAGTTGTGTCTGTCAAACCACTAAATATCAGTGTACCTAACAATTCTAAGGGCTTTTAAAAATAGTTGTATCATCAGCACTAGGTAAGTAAAAACAAAAAAACAAAACTAAGAAAAACCCTCAAAACCAAAAAACCACCCCCATATTCTTTTTTTTTTTTTTTAAAGATTTTATTTATTTGTTTGACAGAGATCTATAGAGAGCACAAGTAGCCAGAGCAGCAGGCAGAGGGAGAGGGAGAAGCAGGCTCTCGGTCTGTCCTGGAGCCTGATATGGAGCTTGATGCCAGGACCCTGGGATCATGACCTGAGCCTAAGGCAGCTGTTTAACTGACTGAGCCACCTAGGCACCCCACACCCCCATATCCCAAGTGGCAAATAGTCCTACTTTTTTTTTCAGGAAAAAAAAAAGAGAGAGAGAGAAAAACAATGTGAGGGAGATGCGCCCAGCCTGAAATAAGGAGCTGAAGATATATGGGGGAATAGGAGGCTTTGGGGAAGTGTACAATCCCATCTTCAAAACCCTCACTTGAAAACAATGGAGGTGTAACTCACATATAGTAGACAGAATAAATCTTAAGGGTCCATCTTGATATATTTTACATGTTTATATCCAGATCAAGATGTAGAACGTTTCCGGTACTTAAGCAGTTCCCCTCATGCCCCTGCCTGTTGATAGCCCTTCAAGATTAACCACTATTCTGACCTCCAACACCACTGCTAATCTTGCTGTCTCTGAACTTCGTGCGTGTGCTTTGGCTCCAGCTTTTTTCAAGCATTATTATGTCCGTGAGATCCATTCTTGCTGCCATGTGTGGTAGTTCTGTTCATTATTCTGTAATATTCCCGGATGTAGTTACACCACAACGGTCTACCAGTTCTCCTGTTGATGGCGACCGGACTGTTCCCAGATTTTAGCTATAGGAAGATTACTGTAAACAATCTCAACCACGTGTTTTGGGGGACATAAATACCCATTTCTCTTGGGGATACACCTGGGAGTGGAACTGCTGGGTCTCAGGGTACAGAGATGTTTAATTTCAGCGGATCCTGCCCGAGAGTTTTCCACAGAGCTTGTAGGAGAACCATCACTCTTGATTAGACTCATATGAGCTGGGGAAATGTTTTACTTTGTGCTTGGTGGGTTGCAAAGGTTTTCCCTTTGCCAGGCAGTGGAATTTGAAATGTAAATTTAACACTTTGATTGAAACCTCAGGCTGAAAAATGGGAGTTGACCACAGTCCTCGTGACTTTATACGCCAATTGATTGAAACCAGATTTGGGAAATAATAAATGCCAAAGAGAAAACTGGCCTCTCATCTCAGACTTGCCTTCCTAGTGAGGACCACCCATGTTAACCCAACTAGTAAGCAAATTCTTACCAAGACTTTTCTTCCAGACTTGGTGAAAAAGGCAAATATTGTATGGAAGATATTTTCTTGCTCTTGAGGGATGATGCAGGGTGTTGGGTTTTTCTGGAAAGAGCAGTTTCCCTTCTCTTGGCTCACCTGAAAGTGAAAAGAAATCTGTCAGAGTGTTCTGCCCCAAGAATGAATCACAAGGCTGGAATCCCTTATTCTAGGGGCGATAACAAAGTCGGCTCCTCCCCCTTATCTATTCTCCAGTGGAGAGTGTGGAGCTGAAGGACAGAGTGGTAGCATCAACCAGGCCAAACAATCCAAAGTCCTTAAATAATTGAGATGAGATGGTACACAGCATGCAGTTGAGATGTGACTAGGAGAGAGTAAGACTCCAGGAACAAAACAAACCCCATACTTCACAGTTTCCAAAGCACATTTATAAGCCTCCTTGTAGCTACTCTCTGAGATGAGCTTTCATGCCCTTTGTCTGGGTGAGAAAGCTGAGACTCAGGTTGTCACTGGCCAATAATCACAGAGTCCAGAACCCAGGTCTTCTGAGACCAAGCCCTCATGCACAGTCCACTGCCAGAGGTTTTCAAACTGTGTTCCATGGAACTCCCAGGGTGCTGTAAAATCCCACAGTTGTCTCCCTAAAGAGGAGAAGAGGCATGTAGCAGGACTTCTCTGGGCCCCATTCTCTGCTCCAATGAGAGCCGCAACCACATTTACTGTCACTTAAAATGAGGGTTAGGCTACCAAAAAAGAAAAAAAAAAAAGTTGGGCCGCCACCCGATCGAGCCATACAGGAGCTTATATGCCGGTGAGCTCTTGGTGAGTTATCTGATTTTGCTTCAGATGACAACAGTGCTGAATGACAACACGGAAAACAAAACACCCCGAACAAACAGCATATGGTCTCTCTCACGTTGGTTTCTTTGAGAACAACACTATTTTGATGCCTACACTGAGGAAATGTTGAAAAAACCAAGACTTCTTTATATACCTCATCAGACCACACCAGTTTTAGCTGAGGACTAGACAGAACTTCAGGTCCAGTGGTAAAATCCGTAGTTAGTAATTCATAATTTAGGATTGTGTTTATAACCCCATTTCTAACAGAATCATCTGTTTAAATCAAACACTCTTATTTTTAATGTCCTTGAGGAAAATACAGTGTGTTTGAATTTATTCAAGAGTGTTTCAGCTTCCCATTCATGGTAGGGAGCAAAACTTAAAAATTTTTACTTAAAGAAACTTCCAACTTAAGCCAACAGTGCTAATCTTTTCATAATGAACTCTAAAATAAGACCTCCAGGTTTGCTACATTAATCCAGACTTTATCTTTGGTCTAAACACATATGCCAGGATTTACTGTATATACCTAAAAAAAAAACCAAATAAGATGAAAGTCTACTTCCTAAAATTATTAGGAAAGAGAGCGTTGCCTTTACCAATCTCTCCTAGTTTAGGAATTATTATTCTTTAAGACTATCTTATAGGGGCACCTGGGTGGCTCAGTGGGTTAAGCCGCTGCCTTTGGCTCAGGTCATGATCTCAGGGTCCTGGGATAGAGTCCCGCATCCGGCTCTCTGCTCAGCAGGGAGCCTGCTTCCCTCTCACTCTCTCTGCCTGCCTCTCTGCCTACTTGTGATCTCTGTCAAACAAATAAAAAATAAAATCTTTTAAAAAAAAAGACTATCTTATAATTGGGACTGTCTCAATTACTTTATTGTTTTTTAAAGATTGTGTTTATCTATTTGAGAGAAAGCGAGCATGCAAACACAAGCGAGAGGGGTGCCAGAGGCAGAGGGAGAAACAGGCTCCCCGCTGAGCAAGGAGCCCGATGCGGAACTCCATCCCAGGACCCTGGGATCATGACCTGAGCCGAAGGCAGATGCTTAATGACTGAGCCACCCAGGCGCCCCTCAATTACTTTATTTGAACCACAAAACCTGGGAAGACACAGCAGCTGAAACGGTCTCAATCAATGCTGGTTTTGGCTGCTTTTAGAGGTCATGGGAGGGAAATAACAGGTAAGAGGAAATGAGATTTAACACAGCTTTGGGGATTATTCCTCAGGTGCAAGTATGTCAAACTGTGATAAATATTTTAAAGCTCATTTTAGAAAGCAAAACACAGCTCGCTTATGTGGTGAGGATCACGGTAATCACAAGACAAATGAGAAAAACCACTGCAATGTTATGCAGATAGGCACTTGTGTTTTGCCATAAAATTTCAGCAAGAATCTTGGATTCAAAACGTCCTACATTCCAAATTAATTAGACAAATTTAAGATGATATGCTCTGGAAAACAATGAAAAGTAGCTTCATTGTGATAGATGCTGATCTCAAAGGAGATACATTTGCATAACATCTTTTTGGGAGATGTGTGAATGAGAAGAGCAATATAGATGAATGTTATTCTTACATAATTTTAAGTATACAACAGCACAGTTAGGTTAAATATTATAAGTAGAATTTTTTTTTAAGATTTTATTTATTTAACTGAGAGCGTCACAGGGAGAGAGGGAACATAAGCAGGGGGAGTGGGAGAGGGAGAAGCAGGCTTCCCTCGAAGCCTGACGAGGGGCTGTGTCCCAGGATCCTGGGATCATGACCTGAGCTGAAGGCGGATGCTTAACGACTGAGCCACCCAGGCGTGCCTAAAAGTAGATATTATTTAATTCCTATTTCTAATTACTTTTATGGAGGTAAAATTTACATTCACAAACATGCACAGATCTTAAGGGTGTAGGCTGACGAAATGTGACAAATGAAATCACCCAAGTCACCACCACCCCAGTGAAGGTACAGAATCCGTCATTCACTCCAGAAAGTTCCCTCTGGCCTCTTACCAGTCCATTCCCATCCCCTACCTCCAAGACAACCACACCTCTCACTCCTACTAAGTCAGCCAAAAAAGTGTTAAGTGGACCTCATCAGGGAAGTGGGGGATCGTGTTATTTGGGGTTACCCTCTGTTTAGTCACATAGGGCACATCGTGTATGGAAAACACTTCGTTCATCGGGCTTTGAGAACTTGAATGTGTTGTGCTCATGTTCTTGATTCCAATCATGTTTCACTCTGAACCATCCTCCACTTTCCCTGTTTGTCCTCTGGGGTGGACATTTGCTGAAAGGCCACTGGAAAAATGGTCCTTGGGCAGCCTTAGGGTGTGCGCATTCCTCTTGTTGAGATGACACATTGATCTGGGTTTAGAGAAACAGAATCTCTGAGTCTTCCCGGATGCGTTCATCCTTAATTAAAATCAGGGATGGGGGCAGAGTTCCTCCTGGCTCTGCAAACTGGTGCTTCGGGTCTCTAGGCTGGGAGAGGAAGTGTGGAATGGAGCCCCAGCTCAGCCGGTCTCGCTAACCTGGGGTGTGAGGAGGCTGGCGCTGTGAAGACCCCCACACGGACGGGCAGGAAGCTGGGATGGAGAAAGCAAGGGGGTGAGCAGTGGCCAAAGTCCCACTGTGTGCCCCGTGTAACAGAGATGTGGCTCAGAGCTTCCCTTGCCTCTTTTCTCTGGAGTCTCGGGGGCCAGTGAACAGGGCCGACAGTGATGTGATGTGATCCCCTGTGACATTTGATCTGCCCCAATGGAATCTGGAGAAGAGAAGTGGAGACTGAGTCTGTGGTGAATAAGTGAATGAGATTCTCAGTCAGTTGTGCTCCTGACTGTGGTTACACAGGAATCACTTCAGTGGGGGACGGGGGCGGGGCAATGACATTTTTCTGCAAGGTTTCAGGGAGGTCCTCTTTCAAAGGGAGACCGAAGATTGCTTGGTGTTGCGTGGGTCTGGTTCTGAACCCGTTTACCCTGCCGCAGACACTCCCTCAGCTACAAGTGAGCAGTTCAGGCTCTGGCCGGGCCATGGAAGGGAAGGATTTTTCTATGTTCGATAGGAATGAATGCAACAGTTGCGATAACACCAAAACACACCCCATGTGTGTGGCCCTTACTGTGGGCAGGTTCTGAGTGGTTTACACATAGTAGCTCATGCAGTCCTTGCCTCGGAGATGAGGGCTGTTACTATCCCCATTTTACAGATGGAGAAACAGAGGGCAAGGGGAGACTGGTTGACTGCCCGAGGTCTCCCAGTTAGCAGACCATCCAGCTCCGGAGCTGGTGTTTATAACCACTTTCCTGGTTCTCAGGTATAGAGGCTGAGGATGGGGTTGGGGCAGGAGTCACGGACCAGCAAAGGTGGAGGGAAACCATATCTTCTTGTTCCTATCTGGGCCAAAGGAAGGAAGCACTCACCTAGAAGCCTAGGAAGCCCAGAATCCTCCGTCCTGACCCATGTGGCCAGAAAAACAACCCCTGGCTAGAGCGTGGGAGATGAAAGTGCCTGCTGGCTGTGGGGCCAGGCTGCTCCCTGCTGTCTGGGGTTGGAAGGGGAACAGAGCATCCTGGAATGTGGTTTCTGGGAGGCAGCCTGCAGATCACGCAGTTCCTTGGCCTCAGCTGACAGATAAGGAACCAGAACCCCCGAGTTCCAGAAGCCGTCCAAGGTCATGTGACTGGCTGTTGGCAGCAAGAAGCACCCAGTGAAGGAATCCCATGGCACAGATGGCCTCGATGAGCACTTGACCGTCCTGGGCTTCAGCCCCAGCTCTGCCTCCTGAGAGCTGGGCCAGTTCGGGTCTCCAGGGCTCCAGCTGCCTCGTGTAAAATGAGGATGGGGGATCTGGGTGGCCCTTAAGGTGGTCCTCACCTGCTAATTCCTACTCTGAGAACTATCTGTGCATTTTTTAAGAGCGCAGGGCCACCCAGTCTCACATTACATAGATAAGCAACGACTGATCACCCCCAGCTTGGTTCTAACCATCTTCTTTGCCTAAAATCAAGGAGAAGTACTTTTTCTTCTTGCATTACAGGCAATCCAAACGCCACAGTACTCATGTCCAACAACTTCGTTTCCGTGGCTGGCCAGGGACTCTGTGGCCGTTGCCCCCTGCTCATCTCTGTCCACTCACTTCTCATTAATTTCCCACACTATCCAAGTCCAAATGCTTCCCATGACATGGCTGCTTAACTTCCAGGACCTCCAGGAGCTGGAAGAGGTCCGTGTCCATCGGAATGTGAATCAAAGGGCTTCACCAAACATACACAGGAAGGACAGGAGGATGCGGGACACAAT